ACATTTTTATTATTTTTTTATTTATTGTATTTTTTTTTTATAATGATTTTATCTAAGATATTTTTGTTGTGCAAGGTTTAAGTTTTCTTGAATGGCCTTGACATTTATCTTGTTTTAGATTTTTCGTTTGGACAAGTTGATTAATCCATCTATATAATATTCTAATCGAAAAATTAGTTATTCTTTAAAATGTAACAACTTTTTTATATTTATATTTCATAATAACTTGACAAGAAAATATTACTTTTCAAAAAATCTTATATATAAAATTTGAAATTAAAAAAAATCTTTTTTAGCAATGTCAATATTATAATATACTTATCTTTAGTTATTTTTGATATCAATATAACAGAAATAATTATCTGGTGATACAATTTCTAAAAAAACTGAAATTATTATTTCTTTTTGCCACTATTATATTTCTACTAATAATTTTTTCAATAAGAAAGTTAAGAAGCCAATTAATAAGAACAATTTTCCTATGTTATAAAGACTAATTAATAAATTGAAAACAAATAATTTAGAAAATATTTTATCAATATATTTTATATCTGTATTAATTAAAAACTTGATCAATTTTCTAAATTTATATCAAAAAATAATCAGTGCTAAAAAGATCAATAAAAAAATAGCATAAAAAATTATTTACTATTATTTTAATTTTGAAAAAGCACTTGAAAAGTGATTCAATTACTATAAAAAAATCAATTCAAAGTGAATAACCCAAGAATTAGTTAATAACAATGTATTTATTATTTTCATTGTGAACTGATTTATCTGGCTCTTTACTAATAACTTCAAATAATTCCTCTGAAACAGGTTCTAAATATAATTCCTGTATAAATTTTTGCATATTCATTTAGTTATCCTTCTGAATTGAACTGTTTGTAGTTATATTGGTGAGGGATATAGAATCATATGAAGTTTCAATTATGAGAGGGTGAGACCTGGGGTCGCACGGTTGAGATTCAGTTATAATATTTATTGCGGAAGAAATTGCACTATGTGCTTCAGATACTTTATTTTCCGGAAGATTTGACAACTCTGTCTGTGAAGTAGGAGAAGCAGAGCTTCGAGTTTTCACATGAATTTGATCGTTTCCTTGGAAAATGGTTTTTACTGTATATCACATGATGAAGTATTATCCGAAGATAAGTTTTGATCTCGAAGTTTTTTCTTCCTAATTCTCTCCATTATCTTAGCTTCGTGATTCTGGCTTCATGGCTTTCTAAAGATTGTCTTAATTCTGCATTCTCACGCTTAACTTTAGCATTCT